ACTTCGAAGTAGTAACTAAACGGAAATTAGGTAAACCGAAATACAGCATAGTCATTTGAATAATTCAGGCAATTAAATTCTTTTCTATACAAAATGCTTACGATTAATTACAAAGAAAAATTTCTTATTGCTAATTTTAGTTTCCTGATTTTTCCATTCTATACGCCTGGTTGACGACAAAAACGTCAGAATAAATGAGTCTTGGCTACAGTTGCTTCTTTTTGAATATACTGAAAATTATCTTTTCTGATTTTATCTTTTTCGGGACCAATTTAAATGTTTATATGCACTCCTGGGAGGAAAAGTGTAGTTCTTTGACCTACAGTTATTTAAAGGCTAAACGGTTTAGTATTTATCTAATTTTGGTCTTAATAAATTGAGGCAACTCAAAGTATGCTTCATAGCCACAGGAATCGCAGACTTTAAGATTTCACTTGGTATGTAGATACCTTGTTTGAACGAGACGATCAATTCGTCTCGAAAATAATTAACAAATATAGGTTGCAAATAATATACAGTTTTATGAGGACATTACTAGATATGACGAAAAGTAATTTTTACATCGTCTGATAACCTATTTTATCTCAGTAGACATAATTTCCGATAAGAATTCATTATTGAATGACACATACACACACACACACATAAATAAATAAATAAATATATATATATATATATAATAAATCAGTCGTGTTTTTTTAGCAAAATTAATAATTGCTGTTACATGTATTTTTTTCATTTAATCTTCTTTACACATATTATGACTTTAATTTGATATTCCAGATAGATTCAGCGACTGGAAATTTGGTATTAGCTTCGCCTCCTGACCGTGAGATGCTCTGTCCACTAGCGTCCACTGGCAAACCGACTTATTCTGACGTCAACCCTGCGGCTTGTGTACTTGTACTCCGCGTTGCCTATCACCCTCCGTCTTTCTCACCAACTAGTAGTCTAGAGACTGAACTTAGAACTGATGTTACTATGGAGCCACAACTAATCACCGTGCATGTTGTCATCGAAGACATTAATGATCATCCACCTCGGTTTCCTGTTGATCGGTTGACTGAAGAGCTGGGGGAAATAACCTCGGAACCGGAAGTGACATACATCGAATTGCCTTCAGCCAGTGATCCAGATGCTGGAGCAAATGGCAGTATCACCTACTGGCTGGTTAGCCAGGACAGCCTACATGATGCAAAAGAAAGAAGTGATGAGATGATCGGCGGAACTCAGTCGGCTAGTCAATCAGTCGTTGGTACATTAGACACCCGAAACCACCTGCCATTTCGATTGGAGCTAGCAGGTATCTCAAGTCCAATGGCGATTCCTTCTCTAACTGAAAGAGTAATCACTACAAGTGAGCAACAGCATCCATTGCCGATGCGCTTGGTCCTTTCGGAGGCACTAGACTGGGAGCAGAAACGGGAATATCGGCTAGTCGTAATGGCTCGTGATTCAGGTTCACCGGTTCCACGAACAGGCCAGTTGCAAATTGATGTCACGGTGCGTGATGAGAATGACAATAGACCCATCTTTGACAGCCCGAATGGCGAGTATATTGTGGTAATAAATGAGAGTATTCCACAGGGATCCAATGTATTAAGGATTACGGCAGAAGATAAAGATGGTCCATCCAATGGACAGGTAATCTATTAATCTTCTATTCTCTCTAGTCTTTCAAAGCTTCTCCCAAGTGAATATAGACATTGTTAAGCATGGTTAAAATTTCATTAAAAGTTCAATTAAAAGTTCATATCTACAGTAAATATATTTTTTGTATATAAGCAGAGTTTGGAGTAAATCTATTATCTGTTTTCGTAGCTTTGGCAGAGTTCAACTCGAATAGAAGGTTTCCATTTTTACCTTATTTTATAGGATGAAATATCAACAAAGGTAAAAAAAAATATTTCTAAACATATACATAGTTGGAAGTAAGTGCAGGTCTAAACTTAT